GAGAAATCACTGGAAAAACACCAAGATTAGAACATCCAAATACACACAGAATAAACCCACAGGTACACAGCCGCTAAGTAGTAAACAAAAGACCACATGTTGGTCTCACCTTTGACCCAGGTGATCACGCCCTTAAACAGGGAACACATGAGAAATTTCATTGGTTCTTGCAAGGCATTTAAATTTAGCAGCCAATTGATTAATGGCATGAGACCGTAAAATAGTTGCAACGTACATTTCTATCTTTGAACAAGCGGCAGACTCTAGGAGTCACCACAGATAAAAACAATGTCGGAGTGTAGCCTTTGCGCCGATTTACCGGCTTTAAAGAACAGAGGGTCTATATTCGTTGACACATTTTCCAAGATTTCTTATTCCAACGTTGAAAATTGTGTGTGGACAAGTGAATGAAGGCAATTGAATGTTTAAATATTAGTGCCAAACCGTGTTTTAGTAAACTGACAAAACTGACAAAACATATCGACTTGCCCTACCCGGTCTTCGTTGCAACAAACACATTATTCCCCTCATATACAGCAGTAAGGGCTTTCTTTTGATGGTCCGTAAGCCTCAGTCATTCACAGAGAAAAAGTTATCAACACGTTTATTTCTATATTCCACCATTTTAATTTTATCAAGTAACGTGTTGAGTTTTGGATTGGTAATGCAAAAGAGCCGATCGGAAGTGAATCTTATAATCGTTTGAAGGCGTGCGACATACAATAAATCGTGGTGAAATCTGCCAAGGGTTAATGTAGAGGCTTCGGGCGAATAAATGGTCCTTGGCTGGCGAAGATGCGGGCCAGTACACAGGACTACTTTCCTTGAGCGGAATTGTGTTGGTATTTATATCAGTGCTGAAGCACAAACGTATTCAACATAAGCTAGATTATTACATGTTCACTCTGGACAATGACCTAGATCGAAATCTTGCATAAAACGTGCGAACTTTGGAAAATATACAGTAAGATGTGTTTACAACATATGAGTATTTCCCTGAACTGCATAGATGACCGCTAGAATGGAAAGACCTACCGAATAATCGAACAGCAGCAGAGTATCAACTGGTCGCTCTTGAACAAACTTTATCACAACTTTCATTACCAGCAAGCTATGAGGAAGTTATGGACACAAATATACAGACAAGGAGTCTTCAAAACATATGCATAGAATACTGCTAGTATAATCGTTAGAACGTCGGACCATGTCACTTCAAAGCAGTTGATGACGTCATGTATTTAATCGTGTACGATATTCAGATGACTAATGTCTACACTATGCAGTTGCAACACTGTAAGCATAAGGAAAACCGATGTGTTGCATGCAGCTAAGTATACCACTTACGACTCACCGACCACTTCATGCAATGTTGTTCAACACTTTTGAACAGTACAGCACACTTGATTCTGGTAATGTGTGTTGAAGCGGGAGGGTCGTCAACTGCGCACGCGCAGGAATTGAGTCCCAAACGACGATAACAACACACGCTGAAAACGCAAAAGATTATGGGTAGACGCTTGTTTGTAAACAATGACACGCTATGGCCATCTGACGCATGCGCAGGCGACGACTCTCCCGCTTTAAGTTCATCTTGGTTGACTGATGTTTGCTGAATATTTATCTGTTTGCAATGAGGCGGAGCATGTGACTTGGAACAGCCAATCACGCTGTGTTTGGCACTAACACAATGTTATACTAACTGCTGGGCTAGTTATTATTGCAGCGAATAAAATAAGACAGTTGCAGTGAGGTAAAACGCCCTCAACGACCCGATGCTATTTATCGAAATACTAAATTATCAGTCACACAATCTTGAGAAAAAATAAAACAACAACACCATACCTTAAATACAAAATTACTGAATTCTATGCTCATTAGTGTCTGATCGCTGATTAAAATCGATTATAATAAGTGTGCCCAATATTGAAATATTCTGATTGGTCGGTCGGAATCACGTGCAGTCCTGTTACCAGATACCCGGGCAGTACATGAGGTCAATGCACGAACATAAGAGCAAAATGTATGTGCAACTCGTCCACATGCGTTATATGGAAAGTTTAATGATCAAATCCAATTAATGGACAGAGTGTCGTCCTTTTTTCTCAAACAAACAAACTATCATGCCACAAACTGTGGAATAATGACATCTGTCACGTACCATTTCACTACACTTTATTTTCTGCTACGTAAGCTACATTATTTGTATCAAGTAAAGAGCTGATAAATTATCTTCTATTGTGTTCTATTTCCCCCATTGTGGAATACACTGTGATCCGGTGAAATACTCCGCTACCATCGTCGCACTGGAACTGACCATATAGTTTTACAGCAGAACGGATATGAAACAACCTGTCACGTATAACAACGTCGACAGTGTATTAACCAAGTTAACATTCGTGAGTATATGTGCTCGGGATGCATCTATACGGAGGAAAACAAAAATCATGTACTTTTATTTATTATTACGTTTGATATTGTTACGTAAGAGTAGAATAAATTGGCGATTATGTGGGAATCAGAGCTAATAATTTATGTAAATCATATTGTTACTATCCGGAGAGAAGCGACGTCAGAATTGATTTAGATGTTATATTTACATTGAAGCCATCTGACAGGTAATCAACGTTTTGGAAATTTCATTGTCAAAATAATGTCAATCCTTATTAGCGACTTACCTAAATCTTCGCATGTATAATCCACTTCCACATATTTATATATACCGTAACAGGGATCACCAAATACCACATTATTTGCAGCAATATGGCAACTCCGCTCACCCTGGCAGAGAGATTTCACTATGGCGGTCGTATCTGCCCCTCTACAGTTGGTGTCATTATGGAGTCGATCTAACCCGTATGGATGAAGACAAACCTCGCCGGACAGGCGTCCATAATTTGCAAAGAGGATGTTCAAAACTTTGCCGTCTTCATAACAACCAATAGTGTTGTTCTTGTTTTCGCAAATGATATGCATCTCCTCTATAGAACACAATGATACATCATGTTAGTGTCATGAATTTGTTTGCGCGTATCTGTTGATCGACATATTTAGCTGATTACTAGCGAATGGCTGTGTTATGTCTGTCATCGTTTAGGCTCATGCGAGGTCCTGAACGGAACTCGACTCAGTGATTTAGAACTAATTACGAGATAACCGTCGCTATCCGGACTACTATTTCTGACAGTTGGTATTCGCAGTTAGTAACATAGTGAACGATTAATCAAAAGATATGACGTGTCCAGTACTCAGTGTGATTGGCTGTATGTGTGAAGGCCGCGCATTAGAGTCTTTTAACTGCTTTGTAATTGGTTAAGGTTTTGAAAGTGAATAAAGAGAGTTTTTAGTTGGTCTTGGCGAGTACAGCACGACAGACGCAATCCAGTCCTGGAGAGTCTTGCGCGAGTCTTGGGCCAGCCTTGCGATAGTCTTGGGGTTCTTTTCCTCAGGGCGCTGTGTCTTATAGAGTGCTCGATTGACCGACTAAAGACGAGAGTTGAAACGTATTCTGTTGTGTGCGTCTATTCGACTGTAAAGTTTAAGTGACTTTCCCGGTCCCATACCTCAAGGGGTGTTGAAGAACCCAGACGAGAAGAATTCCCCCGTGTTATTAGCATTGCAGTTCTATTTATTGTGTTTTAAAGTTGTCCAGAGACATTCGACCTATTAATATTACAATATAGCAAGTTGTTACTTTAGTTTGTTTGTTTGTTATATGTGACATAATTATGAATGTTGCCAGAAGCCATTAACGTTTTTTCCAG